GCATCACTCTGGCTGATGATTTGAGAATTAGAATAGATGGGCAGAGAGAGGAAGACCTTTTAGGATGCTGTTTTGGTAATCTAGGCAAGAAATGATGTGGACCAAGGTGAAAGCAGTGGAGGTAATAAGTAATCAGATTTTTTTTTAAGAAATAACCATCAGGACTTGATGACTTGTTAGACATGGGACATGAAGTGGGCCAAGTTTAACCACAAGACTTTGGCTTGAGCAACTGGGTTCTAGAAGGATTTGATAGCCATTTAGTGAGATGTAGCTATCTGTAGGAGGACTGGTTTGTTGGGGGAAGATGAGGAGCTCTATGTTGTACTATGTTGTAAGGAACCTGTTTACATTCAAGTGGAAATGTCAAGTGGACCACTATACAAGTCTGGAATTCAAGGAAGAGGTCCAGGCTAAAGATAATAAATTTGAGAATTGTCAGACCATAGTATCTAATATTTAAAGCTGTGAGGTTGGATGACACACCAAAGCAATGAACATACAAGAGGAGATGAGAGACCCAAGGGCAAAGGTCCTGGGGCAATCCAAAAGTAAAAGGTCTGGGAAGGAATGCCAGTGAGAGGGAGGGAAATGAGACAAGTGGAAACCAGACGAAGAATGTGTTCCAGGGAGAAGGGAGGGACCAACTCTGTTGAGTGTTGCTGATAGATTAAGATGAGGGCTGAGAGATGTAGTAGAATTGGGCAACATGTACATCTTTTGTGCATTTAATCCTCACAAGAACCCTGTGAGGTAGGTAGTACTATTGTTCTGTTTTACTAAATTAAAAAAATGTTTTACAGCTGTGGAATGTGCCCGAGATGAAACATTACTAGCATAGTTCTAAGTACTGTATCCAGGTCTGTGGAACCTTCTAACCACTATACGTACTACTTTTTATATCATCTAGAATTTTTAAAATTTTGTAAAACATTTTACTATGGAAAAAAAATCAGATTAACAAATATATACATATTCTCTACTCAAAATTAATAGATTTTAATATTTTATAATATACCCACATTTTTTAATAAAAGAAATATTTTAGGTTTCTACCCACAACTCCCGGCGACCACTGATCATTTTACTATCTTCATAGTTTTACCTTTTCAAGAATGTCATGTAGTATGTAACCTTTTCAGAGTGGCTTCTTTCACTTTAGTAATACGCACATATAGTACCTCTATGTCTTTTCCTGGCTTGATAGCTCATTTCTTTTTATGGCTGAATAATATTTCTTTGTCTGGATATACCACAGTTTATTTATCCCTCCCCCTAATAAAGGATTTAGGTTGTCTTCAAGTTTTGGCCATTATGAATAAAGCTTCTGTCAACATCCATGTGCAAGTTTTTGGGAGACATAGTTTTTTACTACTTTGTGTAAATAGAGAGGAGCATGATTGCTGGATCATATTGTAAGAGTATGCTTATTGTAAGAAACTGCCACTCTGTCTTCCAAAGTGCCTGTACCATTTTTCATTCCCCTCAGCAATAGATGAGAGTTCCTTTTGCTCTACACACTTACCAGAATTATCAATATTCAGGATTTTAGCCATTCTAATAGGTGGTATCTTGTTTTAAATTGCATTTATCATATAACTTGTGGAACGTCTTTTCATTTGCTTGTCATTTGTTTATTTTTGGTGCGGTGTCTATTAAGATGTTCAGCCCATTTTTTAGTTGGGCTGTTTGTTTTTCTGTTGTTAAATTTTAAGAGTTCTTTGTATGTTTTGCTTAACAGACCTTTATTAGATATTATTGTCAGTTTTTTATTATTGATTAATGCTATTTTTTATTTAGAGCAATCATTCTAAATGTTTTCTGGGACAAAATATGTTGTCATCAACTGCTAAGTGGTAGAATTTACTACTGATTTTTTAAATTATATTTTATTGCTTATGCTATTATAGTTGTCCCAATTTTTTCTTCTTTGCCTCCTTCACACAGCACCCCCCACTCATTCAGATAATCCGCATACCATTGTTTGCGTCCATGGGTCATGTGTTTAAGTTCTTTGGCTACTCCATTTTCTATACTGTACTTTACATCCCCATGGCTATTCTGTAACTACCTATTTGTACTTACTAGTCCCCTCACCTCCTCCTATCTGGAAACCATCAAAATGCTCTCCATATCCATTATTGAGTCTTTATTCTTCTTGTTTGCTTAGTTTGTTTTTTTACATTCAGTTGTTAATATATATGTATTGACAATTTATTGTTCATAGTTTTGATCTTTTTCTTATGTAAGCCCCTTTAATATTTCATATAATAATGGCTTAGTGATGGTGAACTCCTTTAACTTTTTATTGTCTGGGAAGCTCATTATCTGCCCTTCGATTCTAAATGATAGCTTCACTGGGTAGGGCAATCTTGGCTGTAGGTCCCTGCTTTTCATGATTTTGAATATTTCTTGCCAATCCTTTCTAGCCTACAAAGTTTCTTTTGAGAAATCAGCTGACAGTCTTATGGGAACTCCTTTGTAGGTAACTTATCTGCTTTTCTCTTGCTAGTTTTAAGATTCTCTCTTTATCTTTAACCTTGGTGTTTTGATTATGACGTGTCTTGGAGTGGGCCTCTTAACATTCATCTTGTTTGGGATCATGTATGCTTTTTGGACATGTATGTCTATTTCCTTCACCAAATTAGGGAAGTTTTCTTTCATTGTTTTTTCAAATAGATTTCCAATTTCTTGCTTTCTCTTATCCTTCCGGCACCCCTATGATGTGAATACTGGAATGCTTGCAGTTGTCCCAGAAGTTCCTTATGCTATCCTCATGGTTTTTCTTTCTTTCTTTCCTTTTTTATTTTCTGTTGTTATTCTGATAGGTTATTTTTTGCTTCCTTATGTTTTAAATTATTTATTTGATTCTCAACTTCATCCACTTTATTGTTGTTTCCCTGTAAATTGTCCTTTATTCCAATTAGTATATTCTTCATTTCTGACTGTATCTGTTTTACGCTGTTAAGGTCTTCACTAAGTTCATTGAGCATCCTTATAACCAGTGTTTTGAGCTCTGCATCTGCTAGGTTGCTTATCTCCATTTTGTTTAGTTCTTTTTCTGAAGTTTTGATTTGTTCTTTCAGTTGGGCCATGTTTCTTTGTCTGCTCATTTTGGCAACCTCTCTGTGTTTGTTTCTATGTATTAGGTAGAGCTGCTATGACTCCCTGTCTTGGTAGCGTGGCCTAATGTAGTAGGTGTCCTATAGGGTCCAGTGTCACAGCCTTCCCTATCACCCAAGCTGAGTACTCAAGGTGTGCCCTTTGTGTGGACTGAATACACCCTTCTCTTGTAGTTGAGCCTTGATTGTTGTTAACAGGTCAATAGGAGGGATTTACCCAGGCCAGTCAGCTGCAAGGACTAGTATTGACTCCTGACTGCCAACCTCCACCCTCTATGGAGGATCAGCTGTGCAGGGTCAGGGTGGTGTTGCTCCGATGTGAGCTGTACCTGTCCACTGGGTGTGCCAGATATGGGGTTTTCCAGGTGGTGCAGGCCAAGGTCATTCCTCTCCTGTGTTATTCCTGGGGTTACCCTACATGAGCTACAGAAGCAATCTGCTACTTATGCTGGGCTTAGAAGTTCCTAGGTGAAGCCAAACTATGAATCTATGCTCTCTGCTGCTAGTGCCAGGCCTGGGACCACTTAGCAAGAGGTATGGGGTCTGGGGGCTCTGGACGCCTGGCTGTTCCTTGTTTGAGAGAATACAGGATGTTGTGTAGCATGAGCCAAGATCAGCCATTCATATGAAAAAGCCACTGTTAACTGCTTGGGTGGGCCCATAAGTTGGATGAGATAGAGCCCAGGTTACCCCAAGGCAGGGAAAACAGTGTTAGCCAGGTTGTTGGAATCTCAGATATGGTCCCACCTGCCAGTTCTGTGGCTCTGTTAGGGGAGGGTTCAGAAAAGAAACAATGGCTTCTGCCTGCCTTTCGGTCTGGCTGTTCCCCAGCTCTTGCCTTGATGCCAGAGACTTCAGTTCCTCCCCATATGCCAGGGGTGCCTTTCAAGCTGCTACCCGGGTGCTGGAGTACAGAGGGAGTGAATCAGAGTAAGTCTGTGGGTTCTTTCAGGGGAACTGCTTGGAATTCCAGCAGTGTCTTCCACCGACTCAATCTCTACTGGTTTTCGCAGTCACATGTTAAGGGGACTTATCTTCCTGGCACCAGAAGTATGGGCTGGGGGGCCTGGTGTGGGACTAGGGGTCCTTGCTCCTGAAACACCCCTCCCGAGTTTTTATCCACCACACATGGGTGTAGGACCAGCCAATTCAGTGTCTCTGGGTTTCCACATCTCCTACCCGGATTAATGTTGTTTTTTTAATTCCGTAGTTGTTAGACTTCCATGCAACTCAGTTTCTGGTGGTTCTGAGTGATGGTTGTCTAGAGTTTAGTTCTAATTTTGATGTGGTGGTGCAAGGAGGCCAGCCATGTTTACCTACGCCTCCATCTCAACTGGAAGTCTCTCAATTTACTACTGATTTTTTAAAACTTAAGATTTCTTGATGAAGACCTAGTCTTAAAATGTATTAAGTGAACGCTCATTTCTGTAAATTATGGATTATGTTCCCTCACTTGCCTATTGCAAACCTAGCACAATGTGGAAAGATGCAAAATATGAATTAAAATTAAAATCAGAAATTGCTTACATTTTAGCTTTAATAAAACACTTGATTAAGGAAAACAGAGCATATGATTATAGGTAGGTGTTTACATGTGCGTATTTTAATAAACTGCAATTTAGTTTCCCATGTTCCTTTTTTTTCATTTTGTTTAATTGTAGTATTGTTATAAATATATAAAATTAGGACTGGAGCACTTTTGAGGTAGTCATTATCAGATACTGAATATCAAGCCACATTATTATGCTGTTGACTCTTTCCTATCAAATATAACAAGAATAAAAACAAATAGTGCTTCACACATGTCAATAATCTTACTCTTCTATAAATAGAAGAATATAATGATCTTTCGGTAAATTTTATCTTACTGTCTTTCAGATTAACAAATAGAAATATTATACACAAACCTGCAGAGTGGACATTAATTGCTGTGGTGTTGCTGTCATTGTAAGTACTCTTTCATATTTTAACTCTACTAAATATGAAGAATTTTGATTAGGGAAAAACAGAGTTTTTCATTGATTTTATAAACATTCTTAGAAAATGTTGTACCTCTGTTTTGTGCCTTATTTTTCTTTTCCCTATAATAAATAACTTACATAAAGTGATATGCTATATTTTGATAAGTTGTAATTGTTCTCTATATTTTTTTACTATCTTTTTCTGGAGAGCCTTTTTCATCACGAATATTATCTTGTAAAACACAAGAACATCACCTGCATGTGGAATATATACAGACTAGCCCTTTAGTTTCATTTTTTAACAGTATTTTAATAACATTAAATGGGCCTCGTTATTTTAAATCTGTATTTTTACCAACATATCTAATGCTATTTCATTTTTCTTGAACATATTTTATCATTAATAGTGTCAGTAAAGTTTCGTTTTCCAAATGTATATCTTTAAAATAAAACAGATTTAACGGAAGTAAAATAAATACTACACAAGCATAAATAAAACGTTTAATACTTACTCGCCTTTTAAGAAATCACTATTGGTTTCTAAGGATGTCTTTCCACAGGGGTAAAACCATCTAGTATATGTAGTGTTTTTCGGCTTGAATTGCAAAAGTACTTTTTTTGAGGACCATTCTTTGCTGTATTACTATTGTTCCTTGTTGCTTTGAAGCCCACAGGACATTGAATACAAACTGGACACTCACAGGTCAAGAAGTGTTATGAGTCAGCCTCATAGCATCTCCAGACCTGCTTTCTCTTCCTTTGATATTACTTCAGTTTGACATGTTATTCTGGCTTTACTGTCCCAAGGAAGGCTGTGCTGGGAGACATTAGAGTAGGCTTCACTGGGCCAGCATTCCTGTCACCCAGACAGATACAACTCACATGATTCATTCAATCAGAACACAGAAAATAACTTTACTTGAATGCCCTGATATAAATTTTTTATCAACCAAAAGAACAAGTCTTTTATCATTTCTACCATTCAGTGTTCCAGCTGAATTGGTTATTTGTGAAACAGATCTTACTAATTTTTTAGAAAGTTCTTTCCATGTTCAAATTTGTAAATATTTTGGTCACTGGCAAAAAAAAAAAAAATCAGTATCTCTGCTCACCCACCATATCCTATGCCTTTTAATAAACCCTCACAGATAACTGTTTAACTGTACTTCTGCAATTCATTATACTAAAGAGGAAGTAACTTTTTTGGTTGACAAGTCAGAGGCCTAGGTCCAGCAGTAATCTCAGAATCTTGCTTTCTAGGCCAGTAACTGGAAGTATTATCTTAATGAGCAGCTGCTTACTAAGAACACATGTTAGATCCTACTTTTTTTTTTTTTTTTTTTTTTTGGTACAAACTCTTTCCACATCTCCAGAATGTATAGCAAGGATCAAATAAAGTGTGGAATATGAAATAATAAAGGCTACCATAAAATTTCATGTGATTTTTCCATACAAAAATAAACCTCTAGTGTTTGATTTTAATAGAGGCACCCATGTGGCAAAAAATACTGAAAATTTTCCTATTCCTTTTATGCACTATTTGACTTTCCTAACTTTGAATGTCGTATAAAGAACCTCTTATTTCAAGGGTCAGTGTCCCATAAAAATAGTAATTTAATTCAAGAAATGAGCTGCACGTATCTTCAATGTCTTGCATGTTTCACATTGTGCAATCGATCTTGAGATTGTAGCAATAAACACGGACTTTCCTTTTGTCATTTGCCTTGAATCCTTTCATTACTCACTAACCCCTACAGCTAAATATACCCATCATCTCCTAGTCCTTGGTCCTTTTGATACCTAGGTAACTAAAATCCTTTTCAATTTGGACCCTTTTTGCTTCCCCCCAACCTGCCTTTGGCTTTCAAAAAAAAAATCTTCAGTCACTGTAGACACCAGGTCAGAATGCACTTTTCTTGGTTTTTGTCTTTCAAATCTTCTTTTCTTATAATTCTGACTTTTGACATTTGCCCTTCTTGTAAGTTGTAACGGATGCTTTCCATTCTGTATTTGTATTCTGTATCTTCACTAGCTGAATCTCTTCATTCTTTGGTCATCAACTCCTAAGACTACTGTGTCCTGCCCCCATATTACTTTATTTCTTATTTCCTCTTTTCTCCAGAAAGTCCCCTTTGGCTTTTCATATTTCTACCCCTGCCCCCCTCCTCCGAAACCAGGAATCTATGGCTCAAGTGAAACCCCTTTCAATCTCAGCCTTGTCCTTTTATTAGCCTTTTAGTATAAATATTACTATATGAAATGGGGATAAAATTAAAATACATGTCCATCATGTTAAGTTTAATCCCATTGACTTCTATAAAGTAAAACTATACTTTATACTTGCACCTCTCTTCCCACTTACAGTTCACAATTACTTAAGAGGCACTTTGTCACTGGGGGAAGAAAATTTAGGCATATGGGCTAATATTGCATAAAGAACCTTAAACACAGTGAAAATATGGAGATTTTTTCTTTAATTTTTATTTATTAATTTTAGAGAGAAGAGAGAGTGAGAGAGAAACATTGATTTGTCGTTTCATTTATTTATGTAATCATTGATTGCTTCTTGTATGCGTCTGTACTGGGGATTGAACCCACAACCTTGGTGTATCAGGGTGATGCTTTAAGCAGCTGAGCCACCTGGCCAGGGCCAATATGGAAATTTTAGACACCCAAAGCGACATGCATATATAGAGAAAGGAGGTAACACACTCATACATGTTTGTGTATGAGTTGTACATACTTGGTTAGGAGTAGTATTATTTCAGTAGTATTTTACTGAATACCTCAGCCATTTAACTTACTGCTGCTAAAATTGAACATAGGCGTACATGGGATTATCTTTTTTTAAAAATACTTACAATTCAGAAAACCTTTACATCTACTCTCAGATTTTCAAAGGAAATTTTAGTCATTATTTGTAAACATTTCTGGAATTTGTTTAAAAAAATGAGCTTATTAAAAGTCTTTATAGCTAGGAAAATGATTCTGAATGGTGGCTGTAGTCAGTGAAGTAAGTATAGTAAGATAATATGTTCAGTATTATAAGTGCTACTATTATTTGTATATGAATATTGCAGTTTTTGTATTACTAGCATTTGTTTGTTTAATGCATGAAAGCTGTTTTCAAAATTCCTCATGAGAACTTAGAAAAGGGTACATACAGAGTGAGGCAAAAGTATGTTTCCAGTTGTGAGTATGCAGAACACAGTTTATTCTTGTATTATTATTTATTAATTGCATTATTTTCAACACAAACAACTATAAGTCTACTTTTGCCCCACCTTGTATACACTTACATAATTTTATTAGTATGTTGCCATACTGGCTCATGTCTACTCTTGTTAGAGGAAAAAGTCAACATTTTGAGGAAAATGTAATAGTCCAGAGGAAAGAAAGCTGGGTCTTGAATTTTCACATCTATATTCTTAAAAGTAAATAAGGTGATTCTGTAGCAGATCGTCTTTTCCTGGTAACTTCCCTTGTACTTTCACAGATGTATTAACATTAAAAAATTGGAACTACAATGTGTAATTTATCACTGTATACTGATGAGAATGTTATACCCATAAAATCTAACAAGGAATTGATCAAATCAAATTGCTACATTTGATCTTTGCACATTCAATGAAATGCATCTATGTGTAAGAAGACATCATGATCTATTCCCAATTCATTTAGATTTCTCACTACTTTCATAGGACTTGACTGGCCAGTGGGACTGCAACATCTTTTGATATTTATATTACGTATTCAGATCCTACATAGTTACTAAGAGCACAGGGAAAGACCTTTTTTTTAAAAATTTTACCCTTTATTGTATTTTTTTTTACATTTCCTTTTAGTTCCCTTATACCTCCCAGCTCCCACCACACTTGTCCATGTCCATGAGTCCTTTTTCCTTTTTGTTCAATTCCTCTATCACCTGACCTCCCCTCCTTCTCCCAGTAGCTGTCATCTGCTCTCCATCTATGAATCTGTCCCCATTTTCCTTGTTAGTTCAATCTGTGCATTAGATTGCACATATGAGTGAAATCTTATGGTATGTCTTTCTCTGACTGGCTTATTTCACTTAGCACAATGTTCTCCAGATCCATTCATACTGTCCCAAAGGGTAAAGTTTTCTTCTTTTTTATGGCCTAGTAGTATTCCATTGTGTAAATGTCCTGTACTTGTTTTATCTATTCAACTTTGATGGACACTTGGGCTGCTTCCATGTCTTGGCAATTGTAAATAATACTGCAATGAACATAGGGGTGCTTATGCCCTCTCGAATTAGTGTTTTGGGTTCCTTTGGATATATTCCCAGAAGTGGGATTGCTTGGTCAAAAGGCAGATCGATTTTTAATTTTTTGAGGTATCTCCATACTGTGGGAAGACCATATAAAAGCAGAGCTTAAGCAATATACATTTATTTAATAGTGAAGGAATTAATGTCCCTTCTGTAATTTTTATTTAATGTTATAATTAACAAAGACTCTTAAGAACTTATATAGTTCTATAATAGTTATAATTGACCCAGTTTTTTTAATTGATTATAAATGCAATAAACTAACCTGGTGATTGGTATTATTGCTCAAGTACGAGATTATAGCAATTTTATATCTTAATTGAACTTTATCAGACTTTATTTCTTATATACTATATGTTGAAGTAATACAAAGCTGAATCTGATTTTCTTACATAAATAAGCTCTAACATTAGTCTCTTTTCACAGTCTTGATGCATGATTTTTCATGAAAATGTGTATAAATATAGATATATAGTCTACTACAAATATTTCAGTACCTATATACTCTATTGTGTAAAGCTAGTTAATATCTTTATATATTTTGATGTGTTTGTATACCAAATTAGAAAGCATAATAATTAGTTACAGTAAAATGCATTGTATGATGCCTTTTCATGTTATATATTTGTTTTTATATTCCTCTAATTTTCATCTTACCCTTAATATAGGAAAACAAAAATTAAAAAACCACTTGT